AATTTGATGTTGATATGACTGAATGGATTGGTTCTGTTTTGCAGATTTAAGGATAAGCCAAGTATCATGAAGTATGTAAAAATTGCGGCCACTTTACCTGACAAAACCGTTCGAGATGTTGCTTTGCGGTGTAGATGGATGACGGTAAGCTCTATTCACCTATCCACCATTTTAAAGCTTTTGTTCGGCGGTTTTTGTAGCTTTGTAACCATTTTACAATACAGAGTTAACTCTATGCTTACTCTATGCTTATGTCATGACATATCAAAGAAACAGTACCTTAAGATTTGAGAAAAATCTTCTCTTGTTAAAATACTGACTTGGTTTACCTTTTGCCTTTGTCCATTAAAATACTGACTTGGTTTTGTACAGAGAAAGAGAAGGAAAGCAGAAGAGTTAAATTGTGGAAAAAGAATAAGTTCTAGCAAGGTATGTTGGTGATTCTTGCGATTAGTTCAATTTTGATGTGTGTCACTCTTGAATAACAATTGGAAGCGACTTCTTTGTTTGTTTTGCTATTAGAGATCAAGTTAGATTGAAAGATGCTGCTAGGAATGAGATCGAATATCTTATACATCTTATGCCCTCTTTAGAAACCACGGTTTTAAAACGATTTATATATTTCTTCAGGACAAGCAGGCGGAATTGTCTTCTAAGTCAAGCATACCTTCTGTTTTGCCTGATAACATGGCTACGTACCCTTTCTTAATGCCCTTCACAAGCTCCAGTAAACATATTACATGTGAAGGTTAACATCTATCTTGATTCCCATTCGAATTTATCAACTCCAGGTCTTTAATTTCATTGTCCTTCTCTAGAGTACATTCTTGTCAAGCTGAGATCCATAGATATTTCTAGCATTTTTCCATCATGTTAATGCGAAGAGGAATTTCTGAGATTATTTATGTCATACATCTATAATGCCTACTGTATGTTCTATACTGAAGTCCTCTCTCTGATTCTCTGACCTTGTAAAGATTATCGGTTTAAGCGTTCTTTCATATGGAGTTTAGTTGAAGTTGCAGTAACCTTTAGTCTTGCTTTTTTGTTTTTTACTGATTCTTTCATTTCTCTGTCTCAGATTTAAGTGGCCATGCAATAAATCTCTTAGAACAGAATGTAAGAGCTTTTACTCAAATTAGAGCTAATCTCTCCTCATATAAGGTAAGTGATAAATTATCTGGTTTAAGAGAATGCAAATGCGTGCTTGCTAAAATAGTTACGTTCTGATAATTACGAACAGGTAGAGGATAACCTAGATCTCTTTCGTCAGACGCGGAATAACCTTATCACCATCCAAAATGAGTAAGTTGATACTTTTTAACATTTCCTATAAATTGGGTGGAGCTCGGTCAACTGATGTTTTCCTTTGGCAGCCTAAATAATATGCCTGGCTTGATGAGCCAGATGCCACCGTTGCCGGTTTCAATCAATGATGATCTCTCGACTACCATATTGAGTAATTCAAGTTTGGTAAGTTAATGGGCTGCTCGCTTTTGCATTAAAAGTCTATTGTTTTGGTATATCGAATGTCCACATCGCCCTTTTCTTTTATTTACTTTTGAACTCCTGTTTTTGAATGTTTTGGTTCAAAGATAAGTCTATCTAGAGAATATAAGAATAATAGACTCCGAGAATAATATCATATTTAGTAGCTTTTGGTTAGGATCATATACCCGTGTTGTTAGTTTCACTTGATCTCTTTGGCGGTAGCAGTGAGTTTGGTTTCCTTGATTTTTATTTACCAGGCGATGCCCTTCAACACAACGCAAAGTGGCGGATTCCATATGAAGCAGGAGCCTTTGGGGTGACTTTGGAAATCATCTGGTCTCCCTTACTTACCTGTAAATTGTCTTAGAAGAAGCTGGAGGAACAAAAAGAGCTCACTATATCTTACTTTCATCCACCGCATCGCATCACACGTTGTGAAGTTTGTAGAAATGTGATTCTTTCGTAACAACAACGATCTTTATCGCCATGATGAATGTTCAAACAGGGGATAACATAAAGAATCGAGGGGTCTTGGCCCTGCCTTCAAAACTCAAAAACCGTCTTGACAAGGTCTATAGATCAGCTTAGCTCAATGTCTTGGAAATCTAAGGAATGTGTATAAAAGGATTTCTATATGAGATAGAAGTGCTTGTTGAGATTGTTATCTGTTATCTTTTGATCTTTTGGTGTGTTATTTTTGGTTCCCATTTCTTTTCTTTTTTTAACTTATTAAAAGATCAAAATACCCAAGTTGATTTTTGATATGCCACCTTACACAAAGATATATTCTGAATAACCAGGAATATTTATTAGGTTAAATAAATCATTTATATATATAAACTACTCTGAATTGGGTTGAATGAAACACAAGAATCATGAGAAAACAATATGTTAATAGCTTAAACAATATGTTACCTTATCTATGTAATGGACTTGGAGAAGATAACACACAGTTTTATCATGTCATTTTATAGAACAGTATGCTTTTATATAAAAGATCATGATTAGTGGAAATGCAAAATGTGTTTTGGTTAGTAAACGTTGAAAATTTCTTAACACTCTTTAGTGATGTTTTTGTCACTTGGTCACTTGCCTAAATGAATAAAATGTCTTCCAAATTACCAATGCGAGATTATGTGTATGAGTGGTAATACTAAAACTATGGAGTAAAAAACAGAAGAATACTTAAGATCGCATTACTTAGCTAAATCCGCCCCTTACATTTATAAATATGTGAACACTGGACTATATTAAACAATCAGGAACCTTCAATTTTGTATATACGAAACACAAATGTTT